AAATTCGCGTTTAAGATTGCAATCATTCATCCAACGCGACAGTTTCGAATTTTTATGACTCTTTGAGTATTGTTCGAACCTTCTTTCGTGTTACCCACGAGATTTCTGTTTTCAGTTGGAACGAAATTGGATGGATTTATTTGTTATATTCGTTCTAAAGAAGAAAACGTTTTCGATTTATCTCTTTTTAAATTCTTTAATTTTTATTTTAAGAATTTTCTTTTATTCTTCAGTCACAAACAGTCCACTCAGAGGTCGAGGGATTAGATTGCCGATTTACATGACAATTCCAAGAGTTTCCCTGAGAGCATATTCTCTAGAAAATTGGATTCGTGAGCGCCTGGCGTAGAAATTACTTGGGTAAGGGGGCGAAACAATGGAGTTCGTTGGTTTATGCGAATATAATTTTATAAAAATTTTTGAGGCTAAAATCCTTATTGTCAGTATAAATTTCAAATTGCGTACTATCAGCACCTGTTGGCATGGCCATAATCTCGTTAAAGTGCGACCCGATTTTGTGTAATTGCGGCAAAAACACGCTCATCCGGCCTCACCGAGTCTGTTTGCTTTTCATTCGAACCAACCGGGCACCATCTGTCGTCATTACACTTTACAAATTTTCAGCTACAAAATTTTTAGTGAAAAAACCCCCAAATACATCATCAAAAGAAATATTTTTTTAAAGTGGGATTTGCATTAAAACCAGTATTTCCAATCCTTAAATTATACAGCGAACTTTTCGCCCGTAATACAAAAGACAATGGAAGAGGATTAAAGGTGGAAGTTTGAGGATGTTTGTCTTTGCGACCTCGCTGTTTACGGGTTTCCTTGGGGAAAATAGAATGAGGGAAAGGCCCCAGGTAACTTAGAGACAACTCAGGGAAACTTGATGAAGCTGGATTAAAAGTTAAACAATTAGGTGTATTAGCTAATAAATTTTTATTAAAAATTAATCCTAAATGAGTATGATTTAAGGATATTGAGAAATATCTATATGTTAGGATGATGGTTTTTGAGAAAATGTTGAAAATGAAATTTGCAATAAAATGGTAAAATTTTAAAAAATTCTCCTGATTTTATTTATGGGAGATAAATGATGATTTTTATACCAAATTAATCCTAAAAGTGTATAATTTAAGGATATTGAAAAATATTTATATGTTAATACGGTGGTTTTTGAGAAAATGTTGAAAATCGAAGAGGTACATTTTGTATTAAAACGAAATAGCAAAAAAATAGTAAAAATTTAAAAAATTCTCCTAATATTATTTATGGGAGTGAAATGATGATTTTTATAGCAAATTAATTGGAAATTAGACCTGATTAGTATTTTGGCTAAAATTTCACATTCTCTTTCATCACCCTCCTCCTGTTCTACTCTGTATACATTTTTTGCCGTATTCCTTGGCATCTCGAACTCCTTTACTTTAGAAAAAAATAATTTAATTCCCTAAAATACAAACCAATTTTAGTTGAGATAAATAAAATTAAAAACATTATTAAAGTTTGTAATGAAGAGAACAAACAGTAGCTCCCCCACATAATATGCGGTTCGAATTTAATACCACTCCCATTATTCCGGTCTAATGACTAGATCTACACGGGAATTTGGCATCAAAGGAGCATTAAGGTGCAACATAACGCAGTGCATTAGATCGTGTATATAAATAACTTCACATTAACCAATAAATAACATTAATGCAATACTAGAAGAATAATATTAATCTAAATTTAATTTGATTTGATGTAGAATTTAATTAAACCGGCATACACCCTAATAATTTCACCAACAATCGAATTATAAAAAATAATAATAATACACACCATCTACAATACAATTTAGATTCATAATATAATAGAATTCGTGTGGAATTTTAATTAAATGTTTTAGCGTGCGGTTTCAAAAGCGAAATACCTATACAAAGCACCACATACCCCGGTGCCGTTCCAAAGCTTAATTAATACGTAATATTTTATTTTGAAAGGTTCAGTTTGTTGTTTGCCGATTCCTCGCCGTGTTTTTGGTTTATATCGACGCTTTAAGGGTGGCGAATTTTAATTGAAAATTAGACACCCGGACACGAAGGGTGGCTAATAAAATTCGTCGGACGTTCATCTCCCCTTGTGATAAGGGTGCGACCCGCGTCAAAATTTCTACTTCGTTAGAACGATGGATAAATTGGCTCGGTTTTCCTCCACCCACACCTTTTTATTCCTTATTGATAGAGTCAATTCCAAGATTTTTATTATCCCTCAAACGATTTTTACAAAAATAATAAATCGATGATGTTGGTTCTTGAGAAATAAATATCCAACTCAAATCAAGGGAAAAAAATGGGAACAAAAGGAAGTAGGTATCGGTTTTTAGCGTTGCACAACGAAAACATAAAAGAAAGAAAATGTACGTTTCGACGTTGATTTAAGACTGCGAATGATAAAAACGGAGTTGCATAAATCCCGGTATTGTTTCCTTTTAAATCGAACCAAAAAAGATGGAACTGTAACTAGAATATAAAAAGAGAATTATAGCGCATGGTTTTGATTTGAATGTATATTTAAATAAAAACTTTAAAAAATTGTCCTGTGTGTGGTAGCGGAACACACAGTTGAAACTGTAGACATGTAGCCAGATGAGTGGAAAACGAGTATTATAACTCGATTACAATCATTTTAGTACAGCTTATAAAACCTTCACCGCCATACTACGGAATAAACTGCAACCGAGAACAGAAAAGATAATAGGCGAATACCAGCTTTTCGTGGTCAAACAAGTCTTGGAAAAATGTTGAGAGTTTGATATAGATGTATACCAGCTGTTTGTGGACTTTAAACAGGCTTATGATAGTATCCACAGAGAAAAGCTTCTCAGTATCATGCAGCACTTCAACATCCCACCAAAACTGGTGAGATTAACGTGCCTAACTATGAATGAATGGCGAAGGCAAGGTTAAAATACAAGGAAGACTAACTGAAGCTTTCAAGATAATCCAGGATCTGAAACAAGGAGATGGATTAGCACCACTGCTATTCAACCTGACGCTGGAACATGCAGGAAGTAAAACAACAGTCAATGTTAACTCATCACTATTACATAAGTCAAGTAACTAGTAGGATATGTGAACGCCATAAGGAAAACCTTCACAGAGCTGGAGATATAGACAAAAGATATAGGAGATATAGAATATTAAAGCTTCAAAAAATTGTTCCAACCTTATTTGTAGGAATAAAGGGATAACTCTTATACCAAATTAATCCTAAAAGCACATAATTTAAAAATATTGAAAAATATCCCTATTTTAATCTAATGGTTTTTGAGAAAATATTGAAAATCAAAAGATTAACTTCTTCAAAATTTCGATAAAATAGTAACATTTTAAAAAATTGTCCTGTTTTTATTTAATGGAGTTAAACGATGGTTTTTATACCAAACTAAGCCTAAAAGTACATAATTTAAGAATATTAAAAAATATCTATATGCTAATACGATGGTTTTTGAGATAATCTGGTTCTTGGGATAATCGATGGGTTTTTGCCATTCATTTTATGGCAGGTTTAACTTGTCGATGACTTGTCAAAGTGGGTTGGTTAATCTGTCCGTTGCAAAATTAGGGATCGTGTAGAGTTGCTAAGGCATCGTAATTTTCTGTACAGTAGATTCAACAGTAATCAAGGTTCGTCTTTATTTAGCAACAATAATTTATTTCGCTTCAGGCAGTTTCGTAAGGATCTTCTGTGTTAAATTACAAAAATCGAAATGTGCTTATTGATTGAAGCCGGTTTTATATTGATCCAACTAAATATGAAATAACTAGTATAATATAGAGAGAGAATTATATTATAGCTGAGGGGTTTAATTTAATTCTGCGTATGGTTTTGGAAATTGTCCTATTTGCCTCTGTGTAAACAGGGTTTAGATTTGGTAGCACCATCTGGTGTCTTGGCGTAACTAATTCGCTGCAAACTATCCCGTGACGAACGTGTATCAACAATGTTGTATAATAACTTATTTGAGATGCATGAGAAATTTACTCGTGTAAATTAAAAATTCATTGCAAAATAAATTACTTATTTAATTGAATTTGATTTTTTTTACGAAAAAAAGGAAAAATAAGATGAATTTCTTTGGAATTTTTCTCATAAAGGGGATAATTTGTCGTTGCTGTCTCGGTGTCCTTCAAATCCACTACTTCCGTCTGTTCTTGGCTCTGTAATCTCAGCTGAAAATAAATTTTTCTCACCGCAACTCGGCAGTTAGTAGTTGTAGCTTCTAGTCGGAGGAAATTGATTTTCCAATTGCCTCGAGACTTTTACAGTTTTTCTTCTATTTTTATTTGTCGTTCATTTAAATTACGTTACATTTTATTTTTTTATTTACAACATAAACGGATTTAATTGTATCCCATTTCGATTACTTTAAATCGAAATTGAAAAGAATTTTTAATCAATTGAAAATACACTAAAATTAGTATTATCTGGATTATAACGCTTTTCATTCATAAATTATCCACACGAACAGTTTTTAATTTAATTATCACCGTATCCGAGATGGTAGTTGAAAATCCGTCCCCGATTTCGATGTTCCGATTGTGGAATACCCATCAATTATTTCCGCTTCCGTTGCATCAATATTTGCATTGTGATTAAAATCAATTTTATCCCCTATAAATTTCTTCCGCGGATAAAAAGCCGTCAAACCGTATCAAAACTTGATCCAAATAAGTTTAAATTCTAACATTAATTATTCGAATATTAATTTTGAAGTTTCATTAAAACTTAAAATCTTATGAAACTTAAATTTTATACGGTAATAAATTATGGTTTCATCAAGCAACACAATTTCCCCATTATTAATAATTTACATTTTATAATCGAAGTAACAAAACTTTAGTAAATGTTCGGTTTTGAGACAACTCAATTAAATTCTTGGAAGTAAAAAACGAAAATTTATCCAACTTCCTTCAGTCGCTTATTTTTGATTAGTTTTCTCGGTTCGATTCCAGGTAATCTGGGCGGTATGAGCTAAAATCCGTCCGACGGATCTGAAGAGTGGAAGGAAGAGAGAGCTGTCCTCGCCTGAAGCAATCCATCATCGGTTGCTGCTCCTACTGGCGTCCCAGAACCACACCAATCAAGGTAATTTACGAGCCAATTTCTTAATACACCCCGCGCACTCCACATTTTCACGCCAAAACTCACCCTTTACGTTTGAATTTGAGGGGGATGAGGATCATATTTCATCTTATCCGACGCCAAATGTGATCGATTGCGATAATAAAATTTTATGAGCGACAATATGGTCCGAAATGACCAAGAAAAAGATGTGACGTAAAGAATTATAGTTTTATTCCATTAAATTTAAAGCCCGGCTCCTCCACCGTTTCTTTGCGGGTAGATTTTTCTTCTTTGATGAAGGGATTAAAAGAAAAACTATTTTTTATAGTACCCTATTTAATTTAATAGTATTTCTTTTTCAAAGTGAAATCTCTTTGATCACCATAGCGGTCAAAGCGGGACGATCGCAACGATCTTTCTTTTCACAGGTCGACGAATCCATTTAGACGATGAATATTTTACTGGGACGGAAGTGGCCATTTCCCCGTTCGTGTGAAAGGGAACAGGGAAAGCGGGGTGGTTACGAGAGATGAAACGCCCCGGAAACGCACGGGGCAGGACATCGTCACGGTGCTTGACGTCCGGATGATTTAACACGAACACTAAATCACCGAGTTCCGAAACGCTGTAGTTCATTAACGTAATTTATACTGAAATTTTCTTTACATTCTAAAATCAAATTATTTATTATTATGATTCTTACATTTTATCAACAATTTCCACAATACCCAAAGCCATAAAAATTCAATGACACACAGAACCTTTTTAACCTATACGAACTTTTTGCTTTTGTTGCCCTTGGTTTCTTATTTTTCCCCTTTTTTTCTTCGTACGGTTACTTTCGGCAGTAGGGAAAATGGAGAAAAACGATAAAACCTTGCCGGATAAAACGGGTTCTCGATCCGTGTCGGCAATTTCTCGCCCACGGGATCTCTGCCAAAGCCTCCATCGGGCTCCAGGACTCAGAGGGTGATAGGCATCGATGGGTATCGAGCGTCACTCAAGATCCAGAGGTTAGTTTTATTGCCTTCTGTTTACGGTCGGGCTAAAGAATAAGGCAAAAAAGGATAAGACGTGTAGGGAAAAGAGTACAGGGAAGAGATCGTAGGATTTTGCTTTCTAAGAACGACTTCTCCGGGCCGCCTCCCTAGCCGTTATGAAAACGTCCGTTAGTAATTGAAATATGGCTTCGAGAAACCGACGCCGCAGAATCCCATAACTTGTCGACGGTATTTTTAAATTTTCGAACGTATGGAGATATATGGAAGTATACGTGGGGAGAATAAGGAAATTTTTCCTAAATGTTCTTTTGCAAAGATTTAAGATTTCTAAGATTTTTATTTCAGGAAATCGGATGATAATTTAAGAATTGTTGCTAACTATGTAAAAAATGTTCTGATACCAACCTTTAATACACCATGTGATTTGAACGTGCAGAAATCGGAAATGATCTGAGAGAACTAGAGCAATTGCAAAAAACATTTCTGCCTTATTTATAAACATTTTTAAATAATTCAGATCTTTTCAGATGATGTATAACACTAAAATATTTTATATGAAAAGGTTTCGAGATAAAAAATCATAATTAAATGTATCACTTTTTACCTAACCTAATTGTGTTATAAAATTACTAAACTTAAAAAAATCATGTCTGTCTTATTTATGAATATTTTTAAATAATTTATGAATCAAATTAAAGCAGAAACCTTCTTCTTTCAGATGATATATAAAACATTAATATTTTATATGTAAAAATTTCGAGATAATAATCATAATTAAATGTGTCACTTTTGACTTAATCTAATTGTGTTATAAAATTACTAAACTTAAAAAAATCATGTCTGTCTTATTTATGAATATTTTTAAATAATTTATGAATCAAATTAAAGCTGAAGCCTTCTTCTTTCAGATGGTATATAAAACATTAATATTTTATATGAAAAATTTTCGAGATAGTAATCATAATTAAATGTGTCACTTTTGACTTAATCTAATTGTGTTATAAAATTACTAAACTTCAAAAAATCATGTCTGTCTTATTTATGAATATTTTTAAATAATTTATGAATCAAATTAAAGCCGAAACCTTCTTCTTTCAGATGATATATAAAACATTAATATTTTATATGAAAAAATTTCGAGATAATAATCATAATTAAATGTGTCACTTTTGACTTAATCTAATTGTGTTATAAAATTACTAAACTTCAAAAAATCATGTCTGTCTTATTTATGAATATTTTTAAATAATTTATGAATCAAATTAAAGCTGAAGCCCTCTTCTTTCAGCTGATATATAAAACATGAATATTTTATATGCAAAAGTAATAAAAAATCATAAATCAATATTTCATAATTATATATTTCCCTAGAAATAAAATTAATAAATAATTTAATTTTAACGTTAATCTATTCGATATGATATTTAATATTATCAAATTTTGTAATATCGAGTAAACCGTGTGGACAGCTTCCATGATTTATTATAATAAAAGGCGTAAATTGGGAGTGGGTTGGTTAAAAAGGTCCATTTAAAACGAGCTTTTACGTTCTCGTTGAATGGATTTGTTAATTATTATTATTTATTGAAAGTGGCCAAGCAGTACATAATTTTCCAGTCGATTTCGGTGACGATGACAAATTTTCCAATGCAACCAAATTATTCGTTAATATGAGTAATGAGGTTGAAAATTATAATCCATTTATTATTTCCTTAATTACACGAGCAATAATAGCAAAATATTGATGTTATAGATTTTCGTATTCATTTTATACAAGTTCAGGTTTTGCAAGTACAGCATTAATTAACACTGAGCGTTCCTCGCCTTAATTGAATACACAAGAGGAACAAAACATCAATAGCAAACGGCATACACATTACAATGGGGCCCGTTCAACTATCGGTGCATAATTATTCCCATTGAAATTCTCTCTCGTCCCCCGAACACTTGTTTTCGAAGCCGCCGTGATTAATGGCGTCGACCTGCAAAAGCTTCAAGCCACGGTTTCAAGATCCCTCAGGCGAGGCTCTCGACGAATCTTTACGTGTCATTAGCATGGGGATAAAGCGTCCATTGTCCACCGGGTGACTCCAATTTCCCCCTTGAGATGATAAACAGTGGCCTTTCCGGTATTTCCCCGCCCTGTCTCCGGCGGCGGCGGTCGCATCGCGACGTCCCCTTTCTCCACATGGAACATCACCGTCCCCACTTCGAATCATCCCCTTTTGTTCTACCTGAATCGACCATTTCACCACCACCCCACGTCGGTCTTTACATATCATTTGAACCAACCCAACCTAGTGAAAAATATAACGTAATGGTTGTAGTTTGTAGAACGTTTGTAAAATGTTATGTTCGTGGAGAACCGTAGCCCAAGCGCAAACTACTTTCGAGGGAGCTTATCTCGTCAATTTAGTTCTTGTGGTTGGGTACGTGTTCCCGTTTTGAATCGGAGCAATAGCGGAAATAGCGGTACATTTAGGTCTTGGGGATACCACAACTAAATATGTGTGGTGGTTTTTGTTTTCTAAAATTTACGAGATGTAGTGGGAAAAACGAATCTAACAATTTAAATTATTTTTTTAATATCAAATAATTTCAAAAAATTATATCTGGTTTATTTATAAACATTTTTAAATAATTTATGTGTCAAAATAAAGCTGAAACCTTTTCCTTTCAGATACTATACAAAACATAAATACTTTATATGAAAAAAATTCGAGATAAATAATCATGATTAAATGTATCGCTTTTGATTTAACCTAATTTTGTTATAAAATTATTAAATTTCAAAAAATCATTTCCAACGTATTTATAAACATTTTTAAATTCTTTTTGTGTCAAATTAAAGCTGAACCCTTTTTCTTTTCGGTGGTGTATAATATATAAAAATTTTATATGAAAAAATATGGAGATAAATAGTCATAATTAAATGTATCACTTTTTGACTTAACCTTATTTTATTAAAAAAATTATTAAATATCAAAAAATCATTTTTAGCTTATTTATAAACAATTTTATCTTTAAGATAGTATATAATACAAAAATGTTTTGTATGAAAAAGTTTCGAGATAAAAAATCATAATTAAATGTATCTCTTTTTAGGATAACCTAAATTTGTTAAAAAATTCAAAATATCATCTCTAACCTACATGAATATAGAGCAACGTCCTTCGAAAAGGCTTTCGTCGTCCCGTGATGGATGCGTTATGGAATACTTAGTGTCCTCGGATCGTCGATGCGGAAACTGGGGCGTTTTCCCTTCAAGAATTACTTTGTCGCCCATCCCATCCGATCTCCATCCACCCATGTCTCTCGAACCGTTGACTTCGCCCTTTTATTCAGACACGTGAAGACAGGTATTTAACCGACAACGTCAGCTTCAATAATGTGTCTTTTCTTTCTTCAAAAATCATTTTTAACTTATGTCTATGGGGAAGTTATTAGAGTGGGGAGTCCATAATTTCCGGCATCCCGATTTGAACCCCAAAAACTACATATTTTCACAACGAAAACTCCATTTCCCGTTCGGTACGGGTGAAATTTCATAAAACGCGATAACGGTGTCCGGTGTATTGGATGGGGGCAATTCCGCGTAAATGGTCCGAAATTCGATGATGTTTGGGAATCGAGTGTTTGGAAATACCAACATTGAACAATCCAAACTGGAAATCCTAAAAAATAAGATAATTATCGTGAAATAAAACGCTTATTTTGTATAATTACCGTTTAAGTGTGGTTAAAAGAGTAAATCAAACGAGTTATACTCTAGAGAAATACTGTAGAGTTTATTTTCGGTGAGGTTTATTTTGCATCACGCGAAACTCTTCGTAATTTAGAATTTATGGAGTTACACGCTGGAATGGCTACCCAAATATGATTAAAATTAATTCTTGATATAAAATAACAAACAAACAGTTTATCTTTCTCCAACTATACTTTTATTTCTAGTTCTACTTGAGAAGCGTTTACGGTAGCAAAGATTTAAGGGCTCACATATCACCGACTTGAAATCCCTTC